AAATTAAGTTCAGGGTACACAAAATCATTACAATAGTTCACATCAACATTGTTTTAAATCTTTACCATAAAACGACCCAGTAGCCTGCAGCCATCACATAGATAGCATTCATTACCTCCACAATCCACTCACTCAGCTATTGATTGTGATTGATTTACCATTTCCACGGCATCGGAATACCGAGTGTTTTTTGTTTATCAGCTAATGGTTTTTAAGTAAACACGACATGTTATTTTTTCCTCTTAAAATGAAGAATGAATTTGATGAAAAACCGTCATTCATCATTATTGATAGTTGTCTTTTTAAATTACCATTTTGCATAAATATTTGGAAAAGGTAGTAAGTAGGTACTAATCAGATTCTAATTTCTTTTTTGCTACAATAATAAGACAAGTGATTAAAATTCATTCCAAATCTTGTTATAACTTGAGACAAAAAAGTTAACTCAAATCTGACGCCATCATGCGCGTTAGGGACCGGACGACGGGGACTGCAGTTTCCAGGGGTAAGGTCGTAGTGGCGGTGTCTTTGGACATCGCCAACGCCTTCAACTCCCTGCCCTGGAGCTGCATCTTGGAGGCACTCCGATATCATCGGGTGCCTACCTACCTCCGTCGTGTAATCGAGGCATACCTGACGGACAGGTCCGTCATATACCCCGGTCACCGGGGCGAGTGGAACCGGCGAGAGATGTCACGCGGTGTTCCACAGGGTTCGGTTCTGGGGCCGCTCCTGTGGAACATCGGTTATGACTGGGTGCTGCGCACCGACCTCCCGAACGGCGTTAGCACAATATGCTACGCCGACGATACGCTGGTGCTAGCGCACGGGAGGTCACACCAGGCGGCGGCCGACTTAATGGCGACAGCGGTTGCGACAGTCGTTGAGAGAATCCGGCAGTTGGGACTCGAGGTGGCGCTCCACAAGTCCGAGGCCATGTGTTTTCATGGCCGCGGGAACGCGCCACCTCCGGGTGGGTCCCAAATAACGGCGGGAGGAGTTACCATCGGCGTCGAGACGACGATGAAGTACCTAGGACTCGTCCTCGACAGTCGGTGGAACTTCATTGAACACTTCCGACGTTTGGCTCCAAAGTTGGCGAGGACGGGGGCTGCGTTTAAACGCATCCTCCCCAACCTCGGGGGGCCAAACGCCTCCTGCCGGAGGTTATACGCCGGGGTCGTGCGGTCCATGGCCCTCTACGGCGCCCCTGTTTGGGCGCCAAACCTGTTGCGGCGTCCCGCTCGGACGCTGCTCATGGCACAGAGGGTCATGGCGATCCGAATGATCCGCGGATACCGCACGATCTCTGGGGAGTCGGCGAACCTCCTTGCCGGATTACCGCCGTGGGATCTGGAGGCGAAGGTGCTCGCGCGCGTGTACAGCATGCGCGCGGAGGCACGTCGCCGGGGCGAAACCCCGCTGCCGCGCCAGATAGGTGCGTGGCGGGATGAGCTCCGGCGCGATCTCATGGCGGAATGGCAGCAACGACTGTCGCAACCGAGGGCTGGGCTCGCTGCCATCGCAGCGGTAAGTCCCCTCTTTGAGGAGTGGCTTGAGAGACGCTACGGCGTCCTCACCTACCGCCTGACGCAGGTCCTCACCGGACATGGAAGTTTCGGGAGGTACCTGTGTCTGATGGGGCGGGAGGAAACGCCCGGGTGTCATCACTGCGAGGACCGCCCTGAGGACACGGTGGAACACACGGTGGGAGAATGCCCTTCGTGGGCTGAGCACCGCCGTGTCCTCAGGGAAGTGATCGGCGATGGCGACCTCTCGCGTCCGGGCCTAGTGCAGGCCATGATGCGGAGCGAGGGGGATTGGGATGCCGTCTCCTCCTTTTGCGAAGCAGTCATGCTAGCTAAGGAGGAGGCGGGACGCGTGAGGCAGCGAAGCGCTGCCTCCTCGCAACCCAGCCATCGCGAAGGACACACCGGGCGTCGGGGATCGCGGGACGATCTCCGGCCACCGTAAGCGCGGGCCTGCGGACGGCGAGCATGGGTGGCTCCCCGTCCGACCAGAAACAGACCCGAGCGTACGGCGCGTCGCGTTCCGCGCGCGCCTCAAAGAGCCATCAGACCACCACAGATGGGGCCCAATAGGGCCGATGCCGATTCGGAGTCGCGGAGAACCTAACGGGTAACCGGGGCTCCGGCTCGACGTGCAGGAGAAGGAACGGGGTGGTTTTTAGTCAGTAAGAGTCTGACACTCCCTTACGCCTCACCCAGGCGGGAGCAGTCATTCGATGATTTTCCCCTTAAAAAAAAATAAAAAAAAGACTTCGTGCTTTATAACCATAGTCTGTAAAATATATATGTTTCTATGTTTTATAAACATATCATTTCTGATATAGATGTTATTGTTTGAAGTGTCATTCAACTGTTTTCAAATGGTATCCGAGATTCACAATACAATACAAGTACTCAATTAGTGGTAGTAGTCTTGAAATCTAATACTTTGTTGACGTATAAACAAGAAGAATATTGTTTTGAGAGAAAATTGTTGAAAATAATTGAGAATATCTTTTTGCTAGTGTTTGGTTCAAGACTAAGACACAAAAGATCATTGAACTCCCATACGGCCAGGGATTTGCGGAGTTTTTTATTACTATCAAGACTCGGGACTGGAAAACTCATATATCCTTAAGCGGTCACCGATGACTGCTCTCCACTAACTGCATTATAGACCTTATTTCCAATGTTTAGAGACTACTTTTGTATGAATAAATTTAGGAGATGATTTTCAACAATTTTCAACGAGTTAACAAGGCTGAATGGTTTTTAGTAAGCATCACAAAATACACCCATAACCAAATAAAAACAAATAAATATGAAGCAAAGTTAATAATTAATAATAATACATACTATTTGGAATTTTATCAAAGCTCTTATTAAATTTTGTTTTGATTTCTTAGTTGAAATATAAATAATGTAAAATCGAAATCTGTTTGCCACTTTATGAAATGTAATTGTAAGTCAAGTATCGCTTGGTCGAACCTGAAATTAGGATACAACAGCTGTAGGCTGTAGGCAATGATGCGCGAAGCAACATATCTGTCTACCCCTTCAGGGAGCGAGGGAGCTATACATCTTTGTTTACCTAAATTTGATCCCTTTTCTTCAGCACGGATCGATCATTTATTTATTTGGAATAGTTACCTCTTTTTACTAGAGTTACAGTGAAATAATAGCTATTTTCCGTTTTGTATTAAAACAGGCCCTTATCTGTGGATATGTGGCACCACTGTGGTCTTACTTTCCAGACTATTGATATATCTAGACACAAAATCGTACTATAAAATCACTCGATTGCGGTCGCCCCCTTTCAAATTTGCAACAGTAAAAGAATTAATATTAGAAGACAATTTTGGATTCAAAAACTATGATATTAATGATTGCGCTATTTAGTGTTGTCTATTATTCTTAAAATATAATAATTAAGTACAACCAAGAATAATTGGTGGAACAAATAAGTTTGACAGCATTTTACTCATCCACAGGCACTGTAAAGAAATAGGTATATTCTACTGTACAATGTACAAAATGCCTTATTGTAAAGAGATTACTGTATTCGTTGCGGTAGGAAGCTATTGGTCGCACTCACACAACACCCGCCATAAAGGCGATTATTTAAGAGCTTTGTCGCGGCATAAACTCGATTTATTTTCCAGTTTGCTAGGTTAATGTGATACAGCTTGGAATGCCAAGAAAAAACCTAAAAAAACAATAATAAACTTGTATTAACAATTAGATAGGTACTTCGTAATACAAATAAGAAAAGAAATAGATATATTGATTTAAATGTTTCATGAACATTTCTTAAATGATTTCTACAGGTACTTAATGAAAGCACAGATATAATAAATAATTCACTAATTACAAAGGAAAGCGTGTGGATACACCTGTCAGTTTTTAAAGTCTGAACACCGTATTACGAAGACTACAAATAGTCTTATAACCGATCAAAACCAGTCCTTACTCAATATCTGAAACGGATATATTAATTACATGGCACCGAGCGTTGTAAACAACCATTTCCCAGACCCCCATATATCAACCCTGCCGCTATCCAAATCGGGTCTTTGTGTACAAGTACCCCTCAATCATTTTCTGTCACTCAGTGGTAAATCGAAGGACGCCTGCTGAGAGAATACAGATCTAGGGTTAAACGAAAATTCAACGATTTATTGATCAACCGCTTCTTATTAGGGTAAAGCAATTCAATTGTTTTTGTCAAGGGTAACGTAATAGAATTTTAAACATTGATTTTCTTTGTTAGCCTCAGTTTTAAGGTTGATTTTTGCTTGTATTTTGTTGATGGATGGTAAAGGCTTAAAGGTTTTGTTACGAAATGAATTCGAATTGAATTTTATCTTTGTAAGTTTGTTTTGGTAACGATATGTAATTGGTCTAGTTCTTATATGTCAAAAGTCTACATAATATGCATACCATCTCAATACCATAGCATACCGATATCTTTCTCTACATACAATGCAATTTACTTAAAAAATTCAATATTGATATTGTCTGTAAACATTTGAAAACCAACCACATACTTTAAAAGAAAGCTACCAAACCCGTTCACCGGTATCAATATCACGAAGAACTTCTTAAGAGTAAGTTTAAAAAGCATAAAGTTTCATATCCCTAAAGCCTTGTTACTCTACACTCGCTCTGTATCGACTAATTAATTAATATCTACGCCGCTGTTAACGCTGTAAACGATACGTAATTTTAACTGTAACAACAACTTCGTGTAACAATATTGGAATTAATACAATTCTTGGAAACGAAACCCTATACACAATTTCTATACAACTACAATCTTTTCATAATATACCGGCCAGATATTGAATTACTTATACAAGATTTTCATAAAAGAGAAATCTAAAAAATAAAGTTGTATATCTATGCCCGATAAACCTCGAGATCCCACTTAAACTATCCCAAAACAAAAAATATTCATTGTTCTCGATACTAAACCCCTTTTTCTTTTTTCAGGTACACCCGCAGCAGCATATCGAGTGCCACTAGAAATGTGTTTCAATAAGTATCTTATCAAGCTGGCGGACTACTTCAGATTGTACTCTGACACGTCTCGTTAAGGCTCGTGTGAATAAAAATTATTCGAGATGATCAGCAACACGAAGATTGTGTTCACCAAGCTCCTCCTCTGCTGCATCGTGTCAGGAGCCTGGACGCGGTCATGGGCAAACCACCACGATACCACTACCTCAACCACACAAACAACCCCCACCACGAGTCAAGCACCAAAGAATTTCCACAATGATCCACTCATCGTCGAGACGAAAAGTGGGCTCGTCAAAGGTTACGCTAAGACAGTAATGGGGAGAGAGGTACACATCTTCACCGGTATTCCGTTCGCGAAGCCTCCGCTAGGACCGTTAAGATTCCGCAAACCGGTACCCATCGACCCGTGGCACGGAGTACTTGAAGCCACAGCGATGCCAAATAGCTGTTATCAAGAACGGTACGAATATTTTCCCGGTTTTGAGGGAGAAGAAATGTGGAATCCAAATACAAACATATCAGAAGACTGTCTCTATCTAAACATTTGGGTTCCGCAACATTTACGAGTTCGTCATCATCAAGATAAACCTCTTACGGAGAGGCCCAAAGTGCCAATACTAGTGTGGATTTACGGTGGCGGCTACATGAGTGGCACGGCAACACTCGACCTATATAAAGCAGACATAATGGCTTCTTCCAGTGATGTAATAGTAGCATCTATGCAGTATAGGGTGGGCGCGTTCGGATTTTTATACTTGAATAAATATTTTTCGCCGGGCAGTGAAGAGGCTCCGGGAAATATGGGCTTATGGGATCAACAACTTGCGATTCGTTGGATTAAAGATAATGCGCGCGCTTTTGGAGGTGACCCCGAATTGATAACATTATTTGGTGAGTCGGCTGGAGGGGGGAGCGTGAGTTTGCATATGCTTTCCCCAGAAATGAAAGGATTATTCAAAAGAGGAATATTGCAATCTGGGACGCTCAACGCTCCGTGGAGTTGGATGACAGGAGAGAGAGCACAAGACATAGGAAAAGTTTTAGTAGACGATTGTAATTGCAACAGTAGTCTTCTTGCCGCTGACCCAAGTTTAGTAATGGACTGCATGCGTGGAGTGGATGCAAAAACTATATCAGTACAGCAGTGGAATTCGTACACTGGCATTTTGGGATTCCCGTCAGCGCCGACAGTGGACGGCGTGTTTTTGCCCAAAGATCCGGACACAATGATGAAAGAAGGCCATTTCCATAATACCGAAGTGCTTCTTGGAAGTAATCAAGACGAAGGTAAGTTTTTGTTACTGACGTGCCGCACCGCAGTTACACGAGCTTTCATTATTTTTTAAAAACTACGGCACAGAGATAAGTCGCCATTATCTTTTACCACAAAATTAATAGATTTTTTATGATTATGTTAATCTACTTAGCCATCGTTTGAAGTTGGTAAATTTTTATTTCGTTATACGCGAGTTAGTTCATTATATTATTGAAAATGAAAAAGGCAGAAATAAAAAAACTCAATACGAAATAAAAAAAAGCTACATACTTAGGTATGTATTTTATTTTTTGGTTTAAACTGTTCTGGATATAGGCTTTATCTGGCATTGTAATAAATGGATAAAACATTTTTGGTGGGAAAAATGCGTAGTTAATATAAAAATCGAAGAAAATCATTAAACGTACACGTTTACTTTATAGAAAAATCTAATAAACAAATCTAAGAATCCAGTCACACGCAGCTACGTGATTTATTTATTTATTGGCACAGCCGAGCAAAAGTTGCGCATATCCCGGCAAAACGTGTTATGGAAGACTGACAGTTCAGCCAGACACATTTATAAAACGAACGAATAAAAGCTTAAGTACGACTTATCAATATTTGGTGTAGAGTTCGAGGTCGTTCGCGTAGTCCGCACATCGGTACGTAGTTACACAGCGGGGCGACGCGCCTGCGCAAATCTATGTAGACACAACAACAACACGCTGTAGGTAGATGTTGTACCGTTCGTACTACCAAGTACTACAGACTCGCCCACGTAGCGGCGCCGCACCCCCCTCGTACCTCCCTCCCCACCCCCTACTGTTGCTACGCATCGCGCCACTCGAGTATCTCCAGCTAAGGACAACTTGTAGAAAATGAGATATTTTATTGCCACCTGGAGCCTCTGCCTTAAACTAGTCGAACAAATCTCAGGTTTTTAAGTTTCCCTTTTATTCGTCTGAGCCTCGTCCTACTTTTCGTCGAATAGGAAACAGAGCGTGATGATAACTTTACAAAAAGAAAATTCGTTCTTTTATTCAATATTGAAAGCTTTTTGAGGTTCCTTAAGTTTTTTGCTGTATAGTAACAACTGCCTCCGAGTCTACAGGATGTATATCAAACCAGTTTAATATGAAAGAGCAATTTAATATTTTGTGGGCTTTGTTTTAGGAATTAGAATTAATTTGTCAAGTTGTTTTCTTTTATTTTTCAGAACATTATTTAAGTATAAAGAAAATCCTACCGTTACAACCGTTATTATACCGTTGTTATACCGTTATCTACTAAGTTTAAAAATAAAGAAAATGTAAAGCATTATGTAGTTTCGTGATTCATGAAAAAGAAATCGATCATTTCTCAAATCATTCTTGTTATACTACAAACTTTGCCAATACCTCTTCCTTACCGTAACAAGATTGAGAGTCTCTGAGCCTCAGTAGATCATAAATTCGGCTGGAAACTCACTGAGCCCACCATTTTCTGTGAAGTAGTAAATCTGAGTACAAAAACTACCGTTTGGTAGTTTGGTCGTAAAAGAAGATACGACTTTGCTTCAGTATACAAGGATAATTAAAACTTAGATGATTAGGTGATCCTTATGTAAGTAGGTAGTGGTTACGCAACAAATAAATAATGGTTTATAGGAAACATATTTCATTACATACATAATTAATATTATTAAACCCATGGGTATTATTATTGTCATTCGTATAAAATGGTTCAGAACTTGATATTGTACCTACTGTAATGATTATAAAATTGTTTTAATAAGTGATCAAAAATAATAAAAAGCTTCGTGATCTTTGAACCTCGACACGATAATGATGTAATATGCTGATTCGAGTGCTTCTAAAGTCACAATTTCACGTGCATTTTTTGAATAGGCATCTCACTCATTGAGATGTCTTAATTTGATGCTCACAAACCACTTACCAGGTTCGAAAAGAAAATATAATTCTACTTGAACTTATATGACTTTGTTAAAAATGAAATAACACATCCAGTCAGCTTTACAGACGTTGAACTTAAAAGCTAAAATAGGGTAGATGACTAATTTTTACTTTAATGTCCGTCTGGTAGATTATATTAAAACATTAGATACGTATTTTTTATTTCCTTACAGATACAAATACTTTCGACGATATATTTATTTGAAATGTCGCGTGACGTCACGTCTATGTACGTTTTATACGTAGAAATGATGTTTTTAATCCCATTCCTAAACTTTGATTCGTTTTATCTAAGTATTGTTTTCTTATTCGACAAAATAAAAAAATAGGTGTCTAATATTTTTTCATTACCTAATTGACGGACTAATAAGATTTTTAATTATTATACCCTGTCATCATTCCTATTCTCTCTAATTAGCTAAAAGTTTTACATTTCATATTTCATCATCTAAACCAATAAAAATGTGCAGTTCTAGTTAAATACCGTTCCTTTCTCGAGGAAAATTCATTAGATCAACATCATAACACAATACTGGAAGCTGCAACGTCGAAAACTTAATATTGCGCTACTCAAAATCTGCGCAGAAAGCATAAAATCATTTTCTTGAAGCAGAATAAGCGGAATGTTGGCAGTTGTGCAATACTTATACTATTTTCTGCTTTATCTCTGCTATAGCGCTCCTTGCTACTGGTTAAAATGAAATACGTTACGAACTGTGCAGTTGGGGAGCGTACAAATGCTTGTGTACGTGTTTACTGTGCACTGGGTCAAGTGGAGTGGTTTAGGATAGGTTCCTAAACCTCAGGGTGGTTTAGGAACGTATCCTAAACCACCCTGATAAAACTTTGTTTGTTTTAGAGTCTGATCTGCAGTTTGAATTTCTGATGTGTGTTGTTGATGTGAGAGAGGAAGAATTGTTTTAAATCTAATCGAGGATTGAGATTTTATTATCTTGCTCTGTAATATTAATAGATTAATAAACAAATAAAATGTGGGCCATGCTTCAGCACGAATACGGACGAGAAATAACGCTTGCGTTGTGTTTTGTCGTGTGAGTGAGGTTACCGGAGACCTAATTTGGGGAAACCCCCCCCCCCTTTCCCCAATCACTGAATCCCCAGAAATTCTCAAATTCCTAATCCCTAAAAGGCCGGTAATGCATTTGAAACGCCTCTGGTCCATGGGCGACGCCGATTGCTTACCACCACGTAATACGTCTGCTCGTTTATCGGTATATCCAATAAAAAGAAATAAAAAAAATAATTTCCCGGACTAATTGTAATTTTAGTAACCTATAAGAGTGGTATTAATTAACTGATGATCTTTCAAAGAGAATATAATTCTTAATTAACGAATTTAAGAAAGTTTCATATAATTGGTATATCTGTGAATGATTGCATAAGAGAAGTCAAACAATTTTTATTACAGGCTATAACCACAATCGAAACTTAACTAATTCATCTGTTGCTTTGTTTTCATTATGTATTCAATCTACTAAACGAGTCATAAAGTGCAGTACACACGCACTGCGCACTGTATATATTACTTTATATCTATCTATCCTTTCGTGATAATATGTTTTGACAAATGCTATAGGGACTAAAAAAAATCAGCTCACCTTATCTGTACAATAATTTTACTTTAATTATTTAATATAATTTAAATTTTATTGTAAATAATTGAACAATAAAAATGTGACTAAAGATGAAAAAATAAAAAGACATAATTTATTAGCCCAAGTTATCGGAAGGACAAATGAATCTGCAGTAATATAGACCTTACAGTTTATTACCTAAAGAAATAAATATGAAAATCTTAATATTTATTCCATCAAGGACAAAAAAGCGTGTTTTCTTGCTAGGAAAAAGAATTTGTGTAGTCATAAAGTGCAGTAGTTTACAGTACCCAAGAACCGCGCACCGTGCAAATATTCCCCTTTCATATGACAAATTGTTATAGAGACTTTCTAGAAACATTCCACCCGGGGGTGCCTTGTATTTCACCTTGACCTTGACCGTAGGTACAAGCGTGGATTGCGAAGTTCCAATGTCACCCGCCACAAGTATTACGCCGGCGGCCATTTTTACGTGATTATCGCGTGTGTTATCCATAAATCATAGATATAATACGCTAAGCGCTTTATTATGAACTTGCGTTCAAGGTATTATGTTTGTGAACTTAGTAACTTACTTTGTTCTAGATTAAGTTACGTTATGTTCATTATTTTGACTGGCTGTTTGAACTTTTGTTATTTTGTTTGAGTTATTTGAAATTGGGTTGGTTGGAATTGTTCATTTGTACGTTGAATGGTTTTGTGGTGGTTGGAGAGTAGAATACATTGGTCAATACAATTGATTTTTGCCAGGTTTTGTAAGAACCGAATTAAGGCAGCACGGCTCCAGCACGACTCCAGCCCGGCAATTAACTTGTCATGTAAATATGAATTTTGAGACGTTTACGTATGACATATTTTATAACGTCAATATAAAAAAAACTGTAAGCGGCGCGTTTACAATGTTTTTGTACTATTTCTAAAACAAAAAACGACGTGTCGAAGTTGTGCCTTCAAAGAATAATATTTCAGCACGTTTAAAATTTAAACGACTTCATTAAAATAAGTTCCCTTATAGTTCTTTGACGATTAAAAACAAAAACTATTTGAATTTAAAATTCCACTACAAGAAAATACTTTTGTTTAATCTTCAAATCAAAGAACTTTTAAAATAACGACAAACGATTGGTTTATACTTAGGTATATATCTATGTCAGTTCCACATTCAAATACTCGAAGCCATGTCCCCAATTGGCCTTTGAGACGAAACCAGCACTCGTTCAAGCTTTGGTATTGGTTTGTGGCCAGTTTGAAATTCGCATACGTAGAAGTTAGGATTTGACAAAAGCGGTTAGACAATACGTGCATAACAAGAAGATACCATAAATAAGATAGAAGATAGCTTAAGAATTGTGACATTTCACTAAGGTTTATAACGTAACCTAAATCTGAAACAAAATCTTGAATAAAATTTTTTAACTTAATCTTTAAACAATATTTAATATTGTTTTTATTTGATTCCCG